TTTGGGAATGTTGGCTATTAGACCCAAAACAATATTTTCTCACAATCAAGTCCTTAACTTACACTTAAATATTCCCGAAAATTGGGGATATTACACTCACCCCTCCTAAAAAGGAGTTTTGTCCCCAAAACTCAAATTGAGGACCATATCAAGTGGTGAGTGGCTTCACACAATCCGAGACAAAACAATTGCCTCATCACTTTCTAGGAACAGAACACGACCTATTACGCTTCCGCTGCGCCACTCTGAAAACAAATCACGACTAATCTTAAAAGCAGAACACTAATTACTTAACAGGATTTACCATGAAATGAGCTACTAGAGGTTGGGGTGATATGGGAAGCACAACGAATAAAAATAAATCTTGCCAAAGCCACAAAAGAACAATTGTGGGGTTACGCTACGAACCCATCACAAGACGAGTTAGCAAAGAATGGAATGGATTTAATGACGGGCACAACAAAACTTTGAACTCTATCAAAGACGGATAAGCATCCGATGGATATATGGATCATGAATGAATGAACAAATGCATGGATGCCTTATAATTTCTGCCACAACAAGGTTAACCAATAAGCAAGGTCATGTTTAACAAAGCAACTGGAATCAAGAAACAAATTTTAGCAATTAACAAGAGTTAAAAGCTAGACCCATCAAAAGACATGTAAGAATCTCAAGAATTGCAACAGAATAAAATCAATGGAAAATATGAATGCTTGGAAGAATACCGGAACACAAGAGTGCAAGGTAGAATGCCTCAAAGAATTCAGCAACAAAATGGCATTCACCTAGAGTCAAGATCAAATTTAACCAAGCAGTCAAAATTGAGAGACGAGTTAACCATGAAACAAGCAATAGAATTTCAAAAATTAGGCCCACAAGAGATTCCAATAATGACAATCAGAACACGGATTCAAGAGCAGATATAACCGGGATGTCAGGATCGAGCACCTCAAGTACTAGAATTAATTAGCAGAACAAAGCAATGGCTGAGATCAAGATGCTTAGAAGATTCATGTCTTCTAATTAAAAGGGCAAACAAAAATCCAAGCAGCCAGATAAAAGAATCATTTCTCTTGCAACAAAACTCTAGGGCATCAGGTACTTCAAAGATTACCCTTTTCACCTCGTAGCTCATGGAGGCGAGGCTAAGCAGATTTTCAATCAGGTCATCCTAGAGTCAAGTCAAAGCTAAGGCATCAAGAATACATAATTTAACACTTGCAAGAGACAAGAATTAGAATGCCTCATATAGGTATCTTCTGATAATCGTCACCCCTCCTAAAGAGGTGTCCATATGAACAAAATCAAAAATCAAAAATCAAGAAGATCAAGAAGTATACAGAAACAAGAACTAGCAGAATATGCAAGATTTGAGCAAGAGCAATATACAGAATTTGAGCAAGAACAAGAGTCAGAACAAGAACATTTTCAAGGACAACTCAAATTAGATTCCAAGAACAATGCAAGAATCAATTTCAAACAAGTATCCAGATAATGAGGATTTCAATAATCATTATCCATTTATGGATTTCAATTTCAAGAACAAGTACAAAGCAATCTCAAGATGGATTTCAAGAGTTTTAAGCAATTCCAGGTATCAAGAATGTAGAGATTGGCAACAATAGAGAGTTTAACTTTATGACAACTTGCCAATCTTCACAAAACAAGGTAATTTCAATTCAATGATCACTGCTCTTGATTAACCAATACAGAAAAATAAGCCACATGAAAAGACCATGAAGCTCCAAATGGAAAAAGTGAAATTTCACTACAAGACTTTCAGAAGATAAGGAGCAACGGAATTACCAAGTTATCTAGCTCCTAAAACGCATCAAGAAAACACACAACATTTGCTAAAATAGCCTGGAATCTCTTACAAAGTCGAGAGTTGCCCATCCTCCGCTGGTTATGCAACAAACAAAACAAATTCTCCACCAGCTATGCTGTAGAGACAAACAGAGTCAATAACAAAAGATCTTTGCAACTCCCCAGATTTCATAATTGTGGCAAAAGAGCATACAAAAATTCCATTCAAATAACAAGTCTAAACAAGTGCAGACTATCAGAAAATGACCAAGTTTCAAAACAAGGTCTTCAGGACATAACGAGCAAGATTACTTTCACAACTTCACACAGAGTATGAAGGCAAGAAACAAGAACAATCAGATCACCATCTCATCAAAACGGATGAGAAAATTCAGGCAACACGAATCAGAATTGTCTCTTATATAACCCCATCACTCGTCTCACCACGGGTTTAAAATCCACTGGCTAGCCAAGTCCAAAACAAATCCTAGGTATTCAATTAAACCTAGGCTCGGATATCACTCAATCTGCTCTGATGCCACTCAATCTGGAGGTGCTTAATTTAATCCTAAGCTCTTAATTTCAACCTAAGCTCTTAATTTCAACCAAGCTCTGATACCACTAAATCTCCAGATATCTAATTTAACCTAAGCTCTGATACCACTAAATCTGTCACGCCCCAAAACCCGAATTTGAGGCGTGATAGACGCCGTGCACTCATGAGAGGGTCCCACAAATGCACAAGGCTCGGAACTTATCATATCACACTCTGATACCACCAAAATCTGAAGATCAAATTATAAAATTCTCTCATATCATAAAATCTCCAAATACACTCTAGCTTA